TTGTTTGTTTGTTTGCAGCAACTTCTTTTTTGATTGAATAATAAAGACACAAATGTCCTACCCATTATATGGTCCTTCTATCAAATAAAACATTTTCAATCAAAGAAAAGCAGTGCTCAAATGTATTTTTTTGAGTCTCAAATATATTTTTGCATTCAAATTCTATTTTTCTTTGATTGAAAAGTTTTTTTTTCATTGAAGTGAAGATTTTTCTAATTGAAAATATAATTTTTGATTAAAGCAACCTTTTTTTTGATTGAATAATAAAGAAACAAATCTACCTTCATAATAAAGGACGGAAAATTATGTTTTTATTTATTCAGTCAGTTTTGAATAGAGCTGGAACAATAAATGGCTATAATATGATTTACTTATTTTTTTTAAAATCCAGCGTATTTATCATCCATCTTTTGAAAAAATAGTTTTCATACAAGAAAAAGGCCACTTGTTAATCAATCATTCGTTACTCAATAAGACCAGTTAACTTTAGATTGATTTATTTATTGATTTGCATCTGGACGTCTGCCTTTGTTGTTGAACATGGTGCTAGCAAGGTGTGCTAATGTTAGCACCTAGTTTCTCTCTGTTTTTTTTCTGTCAGGTTTTAACAGAAGCCCAACGCCAACAAATTATGTTTGAATGTGAAAAAGTCTAATTTCTTGGTCTGGCTCTTCCTCCTGGCGGCTCTTTGACTCAATAGCAGAATTTAACGAAACCTGGAGGAAGTTCAATAATCCAGATGCTTGAATCTTTTCAAACCCAATTAGTGTTTAAATGGAGCAAACTGTGAGCCTTCCTCCTCCTCTTCCTCCTACACATCCATTTCAGCCAGTTAGACTGATGTTTATTGTTGCAACCATGACTTGTTTCCATGATACACACTCAACAGGTCAGCATTTTTCCTGTTGACAGAAGCAATACCTGACTGATGGAGTCAGGCCGTCCCTGACAGCTTTTAGTTTTCCTTCACCATCAACCTGCGTTAAACTCTGAACTACGGAGGAAAAGTAGTTTCCTGACTGGAGAAAACAGAAGGACCCGTCTGAGCGATGATGATGATGATGGTACACACAGCAGCGCTCTGTGTGTACCAGCATTGAACCAACAGATAAAACAACAGAAATAAACACAGAGCGGTTTGTTCACTGACAGCTGAGAGAAACAATGGCTTTAATTAGGGCTGAAACAATTATCGGATTAATCGTAATCGATTTATTAAAAATAATCAACTAAGTAATTGTTTAATGGTTAACTGGACTATAGAGACTAAAACATGTCTTTAGCTGACAGAGCGACCCACTTACAGCAGGAAATATACCAAGATTGTAAAAAAAAATGAAAGTTTTGCATTCAATATTTAAAAAAAATCTAATGGTTTTTTTTATGTTCTATCCTACGACGGAGTATTAGTGCCAGGCTAGAGATGTTTTTCTTTTTCTATTTCGAGAATAAAGTCGTAAAAAAAAACTCATCGGGGTCAGAAGAAAGAAAATCATCAACCAGTAAAGGTCCGGAGACTTTTTTAATTATAATCTGTTACTTTAAACAGAATTTAACACTGAAATAAAGTTAGCTTTTTATGCATCCATGTTATACATTGAATTTTTAAATAAAAAATATATAAAAAATAGAACATTTTTCCATTTTAAAATTGTTTTTGAAGTACAGAACAACAATCGTTCAGTTTGGTTTATAGACAATTTCCTGATTCCCATATTTTCTCAAACACCTGAACTTTTCACTTTTCTTTCACCAGTTCACCACAGTTCTTCCAGCAGTCCACACTTTCTCTGCTTTCTTTTTCTCATCATCTTCTCCTTCTTTCCCATCGGCCGGCTTGCTGCAGGTTTGCCTGCTGTGTCTAAAAGTAGCAGCAGCAGCAACCCAGTCAGGTTGGGTCCGGATTAGCCAGCAGGAGGGTCTGGATCCGGACCGCCGTCCGCTAATCTGTGACCTCTGCACTGCGCGAATAAAGTTATATTTTATCACAACTCTTCCAAGAAGCCCTTTCTTCCCTAAAATGAGGAATGTGGAGCATCATGTGAAGTTATACTTTATCATCGGTTTGACAAATCAGGAAATCTTTTAGC